TAACAGTGATAATAATAATGATAATAATAATAATAATAATAATGATAACAACAACAAAAATATCAAAACAAAAACAACAAAAACTCTTCAACAAATTTTACTTGAGAGAAAACAATGTAATTTAAGCTACATCCCAGTTTTTATCATCTACCTCTAAGTTGTCCATTTTCTCCGTTGAATTGGTAATTTCTTCCTTTGACAAAAAGAAAATGGCTTGCATTTTTATGGTTACGCGTCATAGAACCCTTAATATACATTCCATCGCCCGGGCAACAGAGTAAAACTTATTCAGAAATCAGGAGTCTTATAGACGACTACCTGCCAATTATCTTACCGAAGTGTTATCAGTTGGTTGGCCTGGAGGATATCCATATGCATCTGAAAAAAGAGTAAAATTCCATTTTTATTTGAATAAAACTTTTGGCGTTAAATGTTATTTTAACAGGAAAATGCTCTACAATGAAAGAAATTCCTACTTCATCACGGAGAGGAGTGTTTCTGTGCCTTGCAAGGAGTGGTTCCCACTGCTGATCTTCCCCTTTCTTGTGCTTCGTGCATTTGTAGAGAGGAAAACAACTGAAAAAATTAGATAATTTGTCATGACCCACAGTTGAGTAGAGGTATCCTGATTAGCGATACACGTTAATTATGTTGTAGCACGAATAAAGGCATCCTTATATATTTATGCACAACTTAAAAAATGTTTAGAATCTATATTTGCCTAATTCTAGGCCTTATGGTTTTCCTTTACCTTTCTTTTACCATTTATTTCGTTGGTTTGGATAAGAAATGTCATTTATTTACTACATCTAGTTCTAGGATGGCCCATGCATGCGCACACCCCGTGGAGCATGCATGCATCACACCATTGCAGTGTTTTGTAGAACAAATAAATGAACTATTTGTTGTCATAGCTTCATTCAACAGTCTTGGAATGTGGTAAAAAATAGACGGTGTCTCTACTGGCGTTGCTTTTGTTGCTGTTTTAGCATTGCTCCCCCTTCATTGGCAGTTTTAATTTCCAATATTCCTTTCTTTCATATTATGTTTGCAATGACTGATCTCTCCTTCGCTTGCCCTAGATACCACGTGATCCTCAAAACTTGTGCCTCCCCCTCCCTTCCCTGGACGATTTATGATTAATCCGTTAAAGCCTTTCTCTTTAAGATGTCCTTTATCTGCACACCTCCATCTTAAGACTGACGAAATCTTTGGAAAGTTTGCATATTATTCTGATTGTTGGTAACAGTGACAACTTGAAAGATAATGGGGATGATAACAATGAACCCTTTAGTGCCTGTTGCAATTACTCTTTCCCCCGAATTGATAATTTTCTTCGATAGCTGATTTTCTCTTGAGGCTGTAACAGGATAAATGCAAATTACATTCTCAGACGCATGTGGTTATTGTTGTTTAATGTTCCCTTTATCAGCTATTAGAAGTGTTGGAAAGTAATACATTTTCCACTACGTCTTTATTTTCTGTGTCCCATACACTTAACAAACAGCTTAACTTAACTCATCAGCTACAGCCTACGTCATCGGTGAAGCCGGACGATTAATGCATCTAGCATTAGCACTATTTGTGAAGGAAACGAAAGTTCAAAATCGATTAAGTTGCTTTTAAGGTTCAGAATCGCTGCTCGGATGACGCCTCGGGGATACCTCAGCATTATCGCGGCTCTGATTGGCTTGAGGGGTTATTTTATTGTCAGCTTTAATGGACCAGCATCTTCTTTTGAAACGCTCTTTTATCTAAATAAGAAATACATGATGAGTTAAAGGAACATCCTTCTANGGTGTAAATACCTTCATGTTTTTAAAAACCAAGGTGACGTTCTCTCGTAACTTTTCTAGCGGAGGATCCACTACTGCGGATAAAATTACGCTGTCCAGGATCCTATCAATGAACCAAACTCAACGATCACAAATCAGCCTTTTCTTTTTCAGATCTACTTTAAAACTTAAAAGATACCAACCTTTTTTTGTTGGTTCCCCCTGGGTCAGTTACGTAGCCTGGAAAAAGTTGGTGAAGGCTTTTGTATGCAATCCCAAGTACTACTGATCCTATTTTGGAGAGGAAGGAGAACTGGATTATTTTGGTGTCCTAAATTATAGGACTTACATTTTTTTCAAGAATCTGCCGAGTGGTATTTCGGACGGGTCGATAATTAAAAGCGGGCTATCAAAGAAATACTGAAAATACGTTCAATTCATCTATGGTAATGGAATAAAGAGACAGGGACTGGGTCAGAAGTCAGAGCAGGAAGCCAGTGAGTTGAGGACGGGAGAAAACTTTTTAACTCAGTACACAAGTGACTGGAGCCCAATTTTAAGTAAATGTCAAACTTTAAGAACTCGATCAAAAAAAACTGTAATTGGACAACTACGAGGTGTTCGACCGATTATAAAAAGAGGGGAAGAGAAAGATGAAGTCCAATCAATTTCCAAGTTGACAGAAAAGTAAAGAGCTTAACCAAAATGAATATACCAACCGTTCGGATGTAGATTAGCTGAAGGAATCTTGATAAAGCTCTCCCCGTCACTGTCATTAAACAGAAAGTCACTTCCTTTCTTCCGGACAATGCGTCTGACTCGAAACGCTTGAGGAAAGTTGACAGCAACAATGATGATATAAACAATGATATTTTCTGACGATAACGATAATGATAACGGTAATTAACGGTAACGGTAACGATACTCATATAACGGTTATAGAAATGGCAATGGAAATGATAATGACAAATGACAATGAAGACAACGATACATGAATTTTACTTGTGAGATATTTTTACAGGAACAACATATCTTTGTCACTTCTGCAACTTTCGATACCAAAAAATTCCCCCTTCTCCTGCGTTTTTAATTCCCTCACTCTCGACAATTTTTCGCTCGT